GTTTAATCATTCCTGCTGCAGGCAAGAAGCTGCTCATTGCACTGCACGGCCAGAAAGACACGAGAACATTTCCTTGAATAAGTACAGATATTACTGCTTTATCAAATCTACATTTCAAAATAAACAGAATCTTGGGTCCTTGCTACCAACTGAGAAGGCTGCAGAAGCATGCATTCCGATCTTATTTACAGGTCCAAGAGCGGCAGGGTGAGAAAAAGGATCCTTGCAATAGGGGTTGAGAAGCCACTAATAATGGTCTAACGTCTATAACAACTTTGGATTCACCAGCTCCTGAAAATATTTTAAGCTAATTGCCTGCAAGTGCAAAAAAGGTTGCCACAAAACTAATGGGTAGGTCCGTGAAAATGGCTTTCCATGCACTAATCTCTGTCGGATGTGTAATCAATCTTGCCATAATTTTCAAATGGAAGGCACCCTACGAAGAGAGGAAGAGGAAGGGAACATCAATGAACCGGAAATTATGATATTCTTTGATGAGAATCTGGATTATGAGCCTGGCTCATCTACACCCTCAACGATAGTGCCTGATCAAACATTTGAAATTGAGAGTGATTCTGACGAAAGTGAGCTGGAAATTGAAGAAACACCAAGAGTACTGCGCTCAAACAAAGAAGAGCAATATACTGATCCGTAACCATCTGATCAAAAATCACAAATTGATCCCACAAAAATTCCAGGACCATTTACAAGACCCTGTTGAACATAATTAGGTAGATAAATGATTTGCATTTTATAACTTCGTATGAACATTATAGTTCTACAAAAATTGCATGATCTGTGAAAATTAATTGAAACCTAAAAATTTTGTATTAAAATTAAAAAAAGCTTTGCAAATGTAATAATGCAGTCTGTCTGTTTCAAAATGAGACTTATTCCCTTGCATTTTTCCTGTTCTCATCCAAACAAAAAACCTGCAAAAAATTTTTCACGAGAACATACAGACAGTACCTTACGAATCATTAATATTCCTCGAAATATCACCAATGGATCACCATTGCATTCACATGGTCAAACAGGATATTTTATTAAAATGACAATATCAATAATTGCACTGTGGGGGGG